ATTTTATATATAATTAATAAAAAAAATATAAAAGATTACTTATAATAAATTTAAAGTAAATTACTTTCTTAAAGTAATTAATTATAATATTATAGCCAGGTAAATAAGTCTTTTCTAGCTTTATATTTTTAACTTTTAAGGCCAGACCAGTATATATTAGCCAGACAGATAAGTCTTTCCGGGTTTCGTATTCTCAACTTCCAAGGCCAGACAAGTATGTCTTGGCCGGGCGGATAAGTCTTTCCGGGCCTCGTATTTTCAACTTTTGAGGCCAGACAAGTGCATTTTCTGCCACACAAACGCGCGAGGTGCAGAAAAATACTGGGGCGCACAACACGTGGCAGGCATTTTCTTACTCCGCATATGTAACTTATCAGATCATAAAAGCCAGTTGCAATGGTACAAGCGATTGGCATGACTAAATTGAGCCTCGTGCATAATCTCAAGTACCAAGGAGGCATGCTATTCGCGTAATGTCTGGTGTGATAAGCGCCCTACTTCCACTTGCGTCTGCCTACTCCGTCGCTTCTGCAGCCAATACCGTGGTACCGAGAACTCCTGCCAGTTCATCAAGACTTTTACTGTTGAGATTCTGCACGTCTACATCCTCGGCAAGCTTGTCCTCCAAGTATCGGGCTAGCCCTCGCCTCCGTCTCCACTCCTTTGTCCCTGGGTTAAAGAGGACCAAGTCGTTTGCGGGCGAAAGTCCGATAAGATCCCGTACACCCTTCGCGAAGTTGTAGTTGAAGTCTGCCTTGGCATCGATAGTGACCTTGGCAGTGAATTTATAGTTGTCATTCTGCCGAATCAAAAGCACAGCCGCCCGTAGATCAGTGACTATGCCGGAGCCTGCAGTCTCGTCCTCATGTAGAGTCAGACGGACAGTATTGGGAGGGCCCCAGTCTCGTACATCTGTGTCAAGCAATACTGACCCGGTCAGGCTTGCACGGTCCGTCACATTGTAATTTTTCCTTCGTTGCCAAGTGCGGTTTCCGTTGGCGCCTCCGTAGGCTGCGCCGACATTACCGCCAACCTCCGACCCTCTTGTCTTTTCAATCTCAATGTCGGTTGGCTTGCCTAAAGTAAAGTCGCCATTAGGCCAGAGTGTGGCTACAATTGGGTCATTTTCTTCCACCTTGTCTGCGTCCTGGAACAGGATATTAATAGTAGCTTCTCTGAAGCGGCGTTTCTTCCCCAAGCCGTGAAAACGGAATCCGAATACAATGAGAGTTGCTGGTTCCCCATCCTTAGTCTCAGTGCCGTGGACGATCCGGTCAATGCGGGACTGGACCAGTAGGCCCCGGCAAATATCATCAACAATATCAGGCCGCTGTATCTCTCCTTCCCTATTTCGGGAATGATAGCCGCGTTCTTCAGTGACTGTGTCAAGCTGAATGTCGGATGAGTATTCGTCGGACTTCTTGGCTTCTGATGGTGCCATAGTGGAGAGAGGCAAAGATTTGCTTTTCGTAGGCTTTCAAAAACTGATGGGGATGAAGACTCTTGAACAAATCCGATGTACTTATACTTCGAAGGCCACGACACCCTTGTTTTCAGCTCTTGGCGGTGGCCGCCATGGGAAGGTAAGACGAGCATCCCTGTACACACCATGGAAAAAGACCCATGGGAAGGGCGAGTTTCCACCAGTAGCCGCTGGCCCTGGCAAACTCACAGACTTTATGAGTAATCTCCCGGGAAAAACACTCATGTTGCTGCCGATGTGCGAATGCCGCCATTTAGTGCGTGCTCACTCCGGTGGAAAATCCCTTGCCAGCTCGCCCTACCCAGCTCTTGTGGTTCTATACCTTCTAGCGTTCTCACTGTTTTGACTAAGTCATTACTACCAAAGCTCCAGTATGGTGTTAAGCGAAGTATCAACAGGCCAACGAACGAAGGACCGCCCGAAGCCACAACCCAAGCCAAGGAACCTACGTAAAGGCCCCGATCCGAATCGGAAACAGGAGGATAAAGTTGACTATGAGGAGAAACACAAACTTATTGTGAAGAAGCTCTTGAGCCACCCGCCTGACGACCTCACAGAAGATCAGAAATCAGAGTTCCAGCGCGACAAGGAGTCATTTCTGCAGAGACAGAAGGAGTACTTTCTGCGACGCGATAAATATAATGCTAATCTGTTGCACCGACTAATACTCGACCTGAAGTACGAGCAGGGCGGAGGCTTGAACTACACATCGGACGAGGTTCTGTCCTTCATCGAACAATTAGTGATCGACGACCCAAGGCTCCTTGTGGAACGGGGCCACGCCCATGCCCCCCTTAGGGTCGCTGTTGACACGAAACTGGACATATTTTTCCATGTGGTCAATCTGTGGATTCCACCTTGGAAATTTCAGGAGTTGGAAACGAAATGCAAGCAGAAGAACTCCGGAAAGAATTCGCAGTGTCCCTTAAGGTTGATTAACAAGAACCTACGCTTGAAATTTGGCCTCCCGGCCGATGAACAAAGGCATACAGAATCACGGAATCCTACAATGCCGAAGGATCCGGACAGTGACAACCTCGAGATCTGCCTCCATCCACAAGTCAATGTTGTGAAACTCAAGAAACATAATGACTTGATCAGGGCCACACTGGTCGAGGGTATGGTATCTCAAGATCAATGGTCATGTTTACCAGCCATTCTGATTGCAAATAACTTCGACGACGAATCAGCAGAGTACTCCATACCACTGCCTGCCTTTCAAAGACTTCTTCAGCTTTGCACAAACGACTTTTTTCAACAACCTTGCCAGACAGGGCTCAATCCGCTTCAGACCGCGATTCTTTTGTATGAGAGCTCCCATCTCAACTACAATCATGTATTTCGGGTAATAGAGGAGCTAGTAGCACGATTACCCGCTTCCATATACTTTAGCGCTCACCGTCCAACGACTAGTGCCCCGTCTTACGAGGGCAAGTCAGCATATCGCCTACTAGTAGAATTGGGCACGAGAGTTATAGAGGAAGATGACCTGAGCCCTGAGGGTGGACTCAATAATGATGCTATCATTATTCCGAAGAACACGAGTCCCGAATTGAAAGATGTGGCGAATGGGAGTGGAGGGAGCTCTCGAGATTTTGAAGAAAATAACGATCCTGCGGGTAGTGATATTACTGGGCATTTCAACTTTGACGGGCATAGCGATGTTGCGACTGTATACACGGAAGACGCAGAAGCAGGTGAACGTGGCACCGAAAGCCTTGGGCAATATATAAAGAAAACCGAGGATCTGTTGAAGTCAGTTTGCATTGGAGATTCGGACAAAACCATGGAAGAAAAGGTCGAGTTTCTCTACTGGGGTGATGTGAAACGAGGTATGTCCATTAGCACGAGACTTGAAAGATCCCAGTCTAACGAGATCCCAGTGCTCAATATCAGTTTGATCCTTCTGGGTACATCTGGAAAGATTGATAAGAAGTATATTGAGATGCTAAAGAGCAGATCAGGGATGGAATTCGAGACCATGCTAGCGTCCGTGCAGCTACCATACTGGAATCCGTCATCTGCACAACTGCTTTCCACACAGCCTGTTGGCCATGAGACTTCAATCAGAGAATCCAATGCGAGAAAGGAATCAGATCCATACGAGCACATCTTCAACTGGCTAAGAGCAAAAAAGGTAGAGAAGATTTTCTCAATTGATGTCGACGACACGGGACCAGAACCACACAGCAATGCTTCAATAAGAAGATCCTTGTGTGGAACGGGTGAAGGTCCTGGTAGCCGAGGTTTCCAGGTAGAGGTTTTCAAGTGGAAAAAGTATGACATTTGCAGTCAAGCAGTGTACGAAGCCGCCCCTGATGCTCGGGAGGTCTACCTATATTGTCGGGGGAATACAGCGGTTCTTCGAAGCTGGGCTTACAACCCTGGGCTTCACAAAATGAAGAATGTGAGTTGTATGCAGAACTTCCCTACCTTGAATCTTGACTCACTTATACAGTTGGAACGGCTTGTGATTGAGATAAACACCCATGTAAGAAAATGGCTTCGGGTCATGGAACAACTAATCTCGACCAGAATCTCGATTGACGATTAATACAGGACGAGAACGAAGCAAACGACTGTGAAGATTTCAAAGAGGATATGAAAAGAATTCTAGCCGAGAACTGCAAACGTTTGGACCCCGATCGCATCGAGATAAGTATACCTAGATTGACGTCAATCCATGGTCCAATGGATGGCTCTGCTCCTACTACTCAGCAAGACGGCATCAGTAACAAGACTTCTCCCACAAATGAGTACGTTCTCGTTTTCTCCGCACTAGGCCATAAGGAAACTACAGAGAGAACAAGAGACACTGAAAGTGAAAATTCGTTCCTCTGGACTCGTTTCTGAGATACCAGCTGTCCTTTCCTTTCTTTCTTTTTTTCTATAAGAAGCAGAGTTATACATTTACTGATGTTATGACATAGGCTGAGCCCTGACGCTTGGATCAAAGCACTGGCGCCTTTCAAAAAATATGCAGAAGACATAGCCAAAGCTATTACAAAAGAGCCTTTAGTCAAAATTGCTATTTTGGATGATGGGGCTTCTCTCGAACCGCTGAAGCCACATTATTTCTCACGTAGGTATGAAAGCTGTGCTAAAGGTATGTCCTTCAGGCTTGATCACGCAGAGTACTGTACTGGCCCTTGCTGGCACGGCACTAGAATGGTCGAACGCATTAGGAAGTTGTGCCCGATGGCCCAGCTATACATTGGCCGACTTGACGACTCTAGAGTCGCCGGGAAGCAAAGATTTACAATAGAATCATGTGTCAAGGTAAGGGGACAACCTAAATTCGTACCACTAATGGTATCTCTGAAGGATACAGCGCGCTAAGTGTCTACCAACAGGCTCTCAAATGGGCGCTGGACATGGATGTTGATATCATATCAATGAGTTGGTCCTTCAAGTTGAAAGACAAGTTCGAGGATAAGGCCGAAGCTGATTTCAAAGAAATTCTCGACAAGGCTGTAAGAAAATGCGTTGTTTTTGCTTCTCTCCCTGACAAGGGAGCCATGGCTGAAATCTCGAATTACATGCCTGTGGGAAACGGCAATGTTATTCGTATAGGGTCAGCAACTGTTTATGGTGAAGACATCAAACAGAACAAGTTCGCGCCCAAACATTTCCTCTTACCTGGTGAAGAGATCGAAGTTACGAAAGGAGAGTTCGACAATGGCAGTTCCTACGCCACAGCCCACGCAGCAGGACTTGCAGGCCTTGTCCTCCACTTCTTACGCGGTCACGACGCCCTGGAAAACCATTACCGACGCGAGAAGTCAAACTTATCCATAAATCCAGCCAAATTCGCAGATGACCGCCTTAAAGAAGCCAAAACTACGGCAGGAATGAGGAAAATCTTCAAAGTTCTCAGCGGTTCGCACGCCGATACCCCTATTCCCGATGAGGGATTCTTTGTGCGGCCATTCACACTTCTGAAGGAAAAAGACATGGGGGGCAGCGCCGGCGATCAGATCAGCTTTTGTCGAGATATTGTCCCCAAACTTCTACCAATGAGTTGAGAACCCAACATTTGTATTCTTAGCTTTAAATTAATATATATATAAAATAAACGCAGGCAACCGGATACTATGACCATCTTGGGGCCATTTGAGAAGAGGTTTTATGCGATGCGCTGTATTCTAGTTGAAACATAGAACATAGTCAGGAACTGTGGCCCCTCCTCTGTCTTCTTTTAGGACTCTAGTTTCGGCCTGAGACCATTCTGATACTATTCCCTACACTTCACAACAGATAAACTAGATACCGCGTGAAAGTGAGAACCCACGAAATTCGTTCCGTTGTGCTTCTACTCTTGTAATTTGATCAATCTCTAACCATCACCATACCACCGTTCCAATCATGCAGCCCTTCAACCTCAACCTTAGTCTCCTCAACAAACTCATATCTCGCATAAAGCTTCTCCAAACCAGCTAGACTGACAAGCCAGGCTGCCGAGTCGTCATCATCTACCTTTTCGAGCCCATCTTCGAGCAGCATCTTGCCAAGACCCTCTCCTTGCAGAACAGGGTCAACGCCCAACAGAGAAAGGTAGTGCGCTTTTTGTCTTTGCGGGGTGTTCAACACATGCGGCTCAACAGCTGAAAATGCTTGCTCAAAGGTTTCCATATTTTTCTTGTTGAGACCCTGGACTGGGAAGAGATATTCCTGAAGGTCGATCACAGCATTGACGACTGAGCCGATCCAGAATGCTGTTGAAATTAGAAGAAATACGAGAGAGACTAACTACTAAGACTTACAAGGAGAGAGGAGTTTTTGAGGCAGTGTTAGGGGCTGAGTTGGTCGCTTCCACCACGATAGGCCGACGGGATGATCATGCTTATCAACCACGACGCTCAGTGAATACCCAGGCGTCCAATACCGACGCTGAAATCGTCGACAAGACCACGTGTAGAAGGACAAAGGGTCCTGTCTCCTGGTAGGAAAGAAAAAGTCGATTAGTGGTTCGTTGCTGAACGATGCAGCGTAGATCCGTGTCGTGGCTGAGACATCAAAGAAGGTTCCGGGCCGGATGCGGTATTTCGGCGCGGATTCTGAAGATTCGGACATGATGATACGATGCAGGCAGTTTCCTGTTTAATTTTTAGGAAAAGATTTCGCAGAGAGATGGCTGAAGTTCAGGCGAAGGGTAACGAGATAACCAGCTCGATATTGGGCAGCATGGAGTTGATACCTGGTTCTCTGTTTCCGAGGCCGGGGTGACTCAATTTTTCTCCCAGGATCAACAGTCGGAACTGATCCGACTAGCCTGGTAAATGCTCCACTTGAGTTGCCAGATCATCATGATCTCGGTCGACGTGGTCATGAAAACCTGTCACAGGCCAACCTATACTATAGATGAAACCTTTCCCTGCGACGGGATTAATCTAGCTGTTAATTCATCCTATCGAGTCAGTTGGTAGTAACGGATCTTAGAAGGACCATGGTAAGCTCAGTGTTCTAGACCGCCGTGGTCGCTTATCAAAGCTCCACTTGGTTTGACGGGCCTCATAAAACCCGCATGGCCAGCACAATGTTTTCTCACCACGTATCACCAGAAGGGATTTGACAATGCCACACGATCTTGTTCTCCCGCGCCCAGGGGCGAGTTACAAGCCCCAACCGCCAGTCGCGGGGCCGACAGAGTCCGCGTTCATCGAAACATTCGGAGCTTTACTGCCCGCTGCTCAATTCCTTCAGACTCCCCGCGGCAAAGCTGCTTATTACGAGATCAAACCTTCTACCAACGATGGAAACGCCAAGATTGACAAAGTACTGTTCATTCATGGTGTTCAGACCCCAGCGCTAGGGATGCTGCCCCTTGCCCGCGCTCTCGAGAAATCGTTCCCGGCTGCGCATGTGGTCCTGATTGATCTCTGGGGCCACGGACTAAGCGATACACCCGTTGCTCCGCACGAAGCATCGCTATTCCACGAGCTTATCGACAACCTACTGGATCATTTGAGCTGGCAGTCTGCTCATATAGTCGGCTTTTCGTTTGGCGGCGCCACTACTGTCAGCTACGTTGCCTCCAGACCCTCGCGCGTCAAGAGCTTCACCCTTGTTGCGCCCGCAGGCCTTCTTGAAATGTCCATGTTCACACCCGAAGAGCAGGCCTGTCTGCAAGGAGATGACGAAGCTGCTGCGAAGAAGTGCGTCTTGAACATTCTCGAGGGCGGAGATCTCGTTGTACCAGCGGATTGGAAGCAAAGGGTCGCCAACGGTGAAGTCGTCGCTGAGGCAGTTCGTGAGTGGCAGATGCGAGAGCATCCGGGTCATACAGCTTCAGTTATTGCGATTTTCAGAGACGGCGGTGTGATGGGCTCGCATGCTCAATTTGATGAGGCGGCCAAGACTGGAATTCCTTCGCTCGCTGTGCTTGGAGAGTTGGATGGCTTGTGCAGCAAGGAGCAACTTAATACGCATGGATTCGAGAATGTTTTTGTGGTTCCAAAGGCTGTGCATAGTGTTGTCAGGGATCAGGTTGAGGATGTCGCTAAACTCATCGGCGACTTCTGGAAGGCACTAGAGAAGCAATGAACTCAATTACATCTGGTAGTTCAATAGAACAAGACCGGAGCCTACCCTTATGATGGTGCTTGCCGTGACCAGTAGAGTCGCCGAGTTCGTTCCACCGCTCGACGTGGAAGCAACCCGAGCATGAAATCTGGGGGACATGGTTCTAGATCCCGAAGGACATGCCACTTTAGACACTCCGCGCGAATAGTGTCATTTATACTTCAACTATTGAACCAGCCACTCGGTATGATCATGCTGATTGGCTTATATGCATGACAACATTCCAGTGCAAGGGCGGGATAGTTTAGAAAATGCAGTGACTCGATATACAATTGGATGACGAAGTATCCCCTCTCCAGGTCTCTCGTATCTGGCCGGATACACTGGATCTTTGGCTGCTGAAACTTGTTATTATCTGCAAATCTCTCTTTCCCAGCAATTTTGTACAAATCCTCGCACTATCTGTCCTTATCACTATTAACACCCGGCCAAACAAAACCTCATAATGCCTGTCACTGAAATTAAAAGTCAAGAAGACTTCGAGAGACTCATTAAGAAGTACAAAGTCGTCATCATTAATGCGTATACTTCATGGGCCAGTCTCAGCAAGACCACGAACCCTATCTACGACAGACTCTCCAACCAAATTCCTTACAACCCGGAATTATTCGTCCTCGCCAGACTAGACATTGGCGATGCACCTGATCTTGCCGAAAAACTTGATGTTCAAGGTGTCCCGTTTTTTATGGCTTACGAGAATGGAATTAGGAAGGACAGTGTTATGATGCCCAGTCAGAGTACGCTCCAGAAGTTTCTCATCTCCTGGTCTGATAAAGCTCATGATCTGGGGAAATGAGGATGCAGAAGTGATCTCGGGACTGGAAGTGTATCTTTTGATAAACAATGAAGTTGGGGCAGATTGAAGGCTGTGAGTTAATTTACCCCACTGGTAGATAGACACAATGCTAAGGTGACCGTTCTGGTAGAGATCGTCAAGTTTAAGTTGACAGCGGATAGTATTACAGAACGGTTAAGATATAATGGATATGGCTTCGGATTAAATACTAGTCTTCAGTTCCCTTTGGGTGCCCTATGTGATTTGACTGCTACTTATAATGTTTGATGCAATCTTAGCAGTTCGTTTTCGGCTATGTCTTCGGTTATCCAACTTAAGATTACCGAGGCCTTATCTTATCTCATCGTATCTGTCGCCTGTCACACTGAAACCAATCATGACGATGACTCGTCAAAAGTGCACAGACAAGGGGATTCATCATTTACCGTAGCGCAAACTTGTCAGCTATTTTCCAAGTACCTCGTTCATTGGCAGGTTCTTGGCAACATCCCAAAAGCCCAAACACGCGTGATTAAACTGAGACACCAAGCCTGACAAAACAGGGATAAAACATTCAGCTCTCCACTAGCTGAAGAACCGCATCAACAGTTTCCTCAGCCGCAGTAGCAAAGAAGGCATGGCTCGCCTTCTCAACTGTCACTTTCCTGTCGATCCCCCCTACAGTCGCATACATCTCCTGTCCCGCCGGGGGCACAACACGATCAGACCCGCAGATGACATAGCCTGCTTTGCCCTTGTAATTCTCATCTGTAAGCGGAGAATAAGAAATCGGCGTGTTCATGCTGTTGAGCGCTTGATCTTTGATCAGAGAGATGTAATACTCTGCTTCTGAGTCGGGGATGTCGTGATACATTGTATCTTTGGCTCCTGTGAATTTGACCCAGCCCGTTGTCTCCTGGGATAATTAGAGTTTGTTAGTACGTTGGGCTGCCCTGCGGCATGGAGCAGGGGGGCGGGGATGTTGAGTCACGTACGTTGTAGTCAACCCACGGCGGGAGATTCTTTACGTCTGTTCCCATCATGTCCAACGTCGTTTTTCCTTCAACAGGCGTTACAGCCGAGACGTAGATCAGGGCAATGACACCACCTTTCTTACCCGCTTGTTCCCGCTCTTTCTTGCTTAAGCCCTGAACAGCGTGTGAACCATACATTCCACCATAAGAATGCATCAACACAACGATATCCTTGCCATCTTCAACAAGCGGGAGTAAGAGTTTCCTCCTTAGTGATTCAGCGTCGTCTTGACAGGTGCCGTTTGCATCATGTAACCCTGGTGCGTTTTGACTGACGAATTGGTATCCCTTTTGCGTGAAGATCTTCTTTATGGGCTCGAATGACTCGGTGGTGTGCCATGCACCTGGTACAGCCAAGATAGTTGGAGACATGATAAAAAGCAAAAAGGGTGAGTGACAATGCAACCGCACAGATGATGTGTTGGTGGCGCAACGCAGATTTATAGTCACTTGTTCAAGAATCAGTAGATCGAGTCTCCTCTCGTATGCATGCCAATAATTAACCTGGCTCTCGCGGAACCGTGGCTCTGACAGAGAAGCCGAGAATTCAGAATACAAGGGTCTTTCTACAAATAGTATACCGACATTAACCTCGCGACCGAGTCATGAACCCCGCAATACCCTGGTTTTCGACCGACTCATGCCAATCTTGATACCCAATCGTAAAGGGAAATACTCCCGATGATCAATCTCAACTGGCTATGCCATATTTACTCCAAGTGCTTCACCACGCTAAACTCTAGTCCCTTTTCCAACGGTTTACTCTCGACATGAGCTAGCAATATGGCTGCCAATGGAGGTAATGGTACCTACGATGAAGCTTTTCTCAATGAGAGTCGACAGAATGAAGTTTACGCGACGCATATCGCATTTTTTGTCCTCATGATGATTATTGTGCCATGTCGGTTCTTTTCAGCGCGGTTGACAAAGAAGACGCTATCATGGGACGATTGGCTTGCATACTTTGCAGCCGTAAGTCGCACAAACCTCCCCGAAGTTGACGAGTCTGACATTCTTTACAGTTCAATACGATCGGGGTATTCATCACAAGTATGCTGTGGCTTCGATTTGGCCTAGGTAGGCATCTTGCCTGGGTGATGCAGGACGACCCAGAGAACATCGAAAACTTCTTCAAGGCCATCATTGCAAATGAGATCATGTACACGACAGCTTTGGCCTGTGCGAGGCTATCCCTTGTAGCGTTCTTCTACCATATCTTTGGCGTCTCAACCATGAGATACTTTCTGCACGGATTTGTCGTTTTCATCATTGCGTGGGCGATCTCAACGGTTAGGCCTACCACCAAAATGCTCCTTGGTCAATACTGACATGGTCTAGTACGTTCCCTCGATTCGAACATGCTGGCCTATTTCTAGCTTCTGGGATGGCACGAATCAGAATTGTATCGATCTTTCCAAGTTTTATGTTGGTGTCGCGATTGGAGGTATCGTCACTGATATTGGTCTGATGATTATTCCTCTGCCGTACATCTGGGCTTTGAAGGTACCCTTGTACCACAAGATCTTGATCGCAATCATGCTGGTCTTTGGTAGTTTGTGAGTATTTCTCTGCTCCTAGCGATTGTTATGCTGACAGAATAAGTGCTTGTTTCGTCACAATCATCCGCCTCACCAAGGTCATCACCGTTGATCTGACCGATCCAACCTGGGGAACTGTCGACCTTATGATCTGGACCGGCATGGAGGTCTACAGGTATGCATCTTCTCCTTAAACCGCCATTAGACCAATACTGACTGATCAGCGCTGTGATCTGCTGCTGCCTCCCGACCATGCGTCCGCTCGTCAAATTTGTCTGGAAGAAGCTTGGCCTGAAGCAATTGAGTTCAAGCGGCAACACAGATCCATCAAAGCCTACATCAAATGGAACTGGCATGTGGGGAAATAAGTCCCGTCAAACCTCGCGACATTTAACAGATGGCGTTCTTGCATCTAATGCAGACGAGGTGGAGTTGACGAAGCATGCTTATTACGAGCTGCATTCAGATAATGCTCATGGTCGATCACAAGACTCGATCACGGTGCATCAGCAAGTTTGAGCATTCTCAAGCACAGGAGATAGAAATCGGTGTACAGTACGATATAGCGTTTTAGAATAAGCATAAATCGAGCATTAATTCTTAGATTTCTGGTGGAAATTTGGCTCACCCGAGGCCGGGACTGTCTAAACCCCGAAAGTGGGGCGCCGGTCCCGAACCAACTGTGCCGTCCCGTTCCTAGCCCGATCTCATCGTCGGACCCGAAGCGTCTCTTTTCGTCTCTAAACCAGCATTGTCGATCGGAATTATAAATAAAACAATATCCCCATTAGATTATGGCTCATTCAATCTGCCAACTTATCTTTTCTACAGACAACATGGCAAATACCGAAGAAACATCCGTCGTGATCATTGGAGGCAGCCTTGTAGGCCTTTCAACAGCCCTCTTCCTCTCCCATCTCAACATTCCCACCATCCTGATAGAGCGCCATACCGGCAGTTCTCTTCACCCTCGTGCTATTGGCTACACTGCACGAACAATTGAACTGTTTCGAACTGTCGGCGTTGAGTCAAAACTCAAAGGCATTCAATGGTCTGGCGGTCCTCCCCGCCGTATTGTTGTGGAGAGTCTCGCTGGAAAGTGGACAAAAGAACAAGGCTGGACGCAAAAGCCCAAAAGTGGTCCACCAGCTTCCTTTGCAGAGCATTCTCCTACTGAAGGTGTTGCTATCGCTCAAGATGTCATTGAGCCTGTTTTGAGAGATCGAGCGAGAGAGCTTGAGGCAGATCTCAGACTGGGCTTCACCCTTACGGGCTGGAGTCAAGATGGCAAAAGCGTTACAGTCAACGCTACCGGAAAGGACGGCGAAGAAATCCATGTCAAGGCAAAATACATGGTCGCATGTGATGGCAACCGCAGCCGGGTTCGAGAAAGTCTCGGTATTCAACGCCATGGCGTTGGTCTTCTTCGGAAGCTCCAGAGTATCATGTTCAGATGCGAACGTCTTCAACATTTTCTGGAACACGGCTACAGTCAATTCCAGATCGAAGGTCGCGAAGATGGTTTCGAAGCTTTCATGACTACCTATGGTGGCGGACGATGGATGCTAGCTTGGAACCTGGAGGCCGACGACCCTGAAGCCATTCTTGATGAAGCAACCCAGCGCGACATGATCCGCAAGGCTTCTGGTGTACAGGATCTCCCCGATGAGGACATTCAACTCATCACTACTGGTAAATGGGATATCGGTGGTCTCATCGCGGATAAGTTCACTTCTGGTCGTGTTTTCCTCGCTGGCGATGCAGCTCATGCTCTTCCTCCCAATCGCGGCGGTTACGGTGCAAACACCGGCATAGCTGATGCACATAACCTTGCATGGAAGCTGGCATCAGTGCTTCGTGGTGAGTCATCGCCAGAGCTTCTTGATACATATGATGTTGAGAGAAGACCTGTTGCAGATGTCCGGCATGACCAGATCTTTGCAAGAGAGGACTACAAGCGATACGTGGTCGATAAGGAATGGCCTGGAAAGAATGTTGAGATTATGGATGATGTGGCGATGGAGTTTGGGTATTTCTATAACTCAGAGGCCATTGTTGGAGGTCCAGATGGATCTGTTCCAGTCAAGAGGCCGGATGAGTGGAATGGACTGCCAGGCACAAGAGCGCCCCACGTTATACTTGAAGGTGATCATAGCTCAACTTTGGACCTTTTCGGTACATCTTGGGTCGTTATATCGAAGGATGAGAGGTGGAAGAAGCTCGTAGTAGAGGCGTCCAAAGCGACAAAGGCAAAGATTGCGTTTGTGCACGTTGGAGGCGACGTTACTGAGAAGAACGAGGGCGATTTCAACAGACTGTATGGCTTGGAAGATACCGGTTGTTCGTTAGTTCGGCCCGATGGCTTTGTTGCTTGGCGAGCAACAGCATGGCCGGCTGAACCACAGAAGGAGTTGCTACAGGCGTTGGGTCAGGTTTCCTTCTCGTCGAAAGAGGCAGATGGGTTGCGGTGAAAGTATACGGCGATTACATCGACTGATGCGACAAGTTCCCCGGTTTTGTCGTTCTTGCTCTATGTCCTCTTCCTCCTTTCAATTCATAGATGCTGTGTGCGAGGCAACAAAGCAAATTACAAGTGCCAGTGGCAGTGAAAAGTTATGGATAATAGAAATAGTTGTCAATTCAGAAATTTATAGCCATGTAGAATAGTTTCAACATCCCGTGTCTGAGCTACCAGCCAGTAAGTGCGAATAGACACTTATCAAGTCGTTACAGGGGTACCCGAGCCATCGCCCTCTAATTAAAGGGTCGGCAGTAGTAAACAGTCTCAACAGTCCATCCATCAACGGTATACAGAACAACAGGCTTTCCAACAGCCCCAGTTCGCTTCCAGCAGTTGTACGTATGGTACCCATTAGTGCCCGTGCCAGCCCAGGCATTGTCATGCTTGCTAGCCGCATCTGCAAAGATATTTGATGTAAAGGACACACCAGTGCCAAAGGTCCCTCGTTTCCGGTTAACGTCGTGCTTAGAGATTAAAGAGAAAGAACTTACCCTTCACAGGTTGGCCTTCCCAGATGATGTGGCTTCCGTGGGTGACATCAACATAGTCATCAGGACGAGAACCTCCGGTTCCGCCCGTTGCGTCGTGTCCGTCGGCGTAGTACGCCATTCCGCTGGAGATCTCGTTGCCTTTCCAGGAGTTTACGAGGTAGAGTGTGTCGGCGGCCGAGGCAGCGCCAACAAGGGCAGATGTCAGAAAAGCAGTGATCTTCATGATGTTGTTGGTGAGACTGAATGGGATGAGTTGAATACTCTGACACTTCTTGGCGAAAACACCAGATATTTATACAATACGAGAATGCGTGTTTTCGCAAAAGGACCAAAACGCAAGCCAATGACTTACGGTTAGACTGTCAGCTTAATTCCATTCCCTGCAACATTGCTCCATTTACGCTGTTGCAAGCGCTGACATCAGCGGCCTTCACTGGTGACTGATCCACCCAGCTGAAAGTTCTTTGACCATTAATCATCCAACCCCTGGTATCAGTAGAACTTCTGCGCTGCGAGTAATACAGCACTAACAGAATGTGGTGTCAATTATCGAGGCTCGGGCCGCCTTTTCATGCTTAGCTTACCTGATTAGGCAGGACTTGCGTTACAATTGATGCTGTTTGGCTTACTGGCAATTTGCCTGTAATGTTCACAACCAGGGATTCCATGCTTCAATGACACGGTTTGGAAAAGTCAGGTTCATGGCGGTGGATCTAAATAAAGAGTCACGCCATCTATTTATATGTTTAGGCTATATCGATGGAAAGGGACAAAAGCTGTGCCAAGTGAAAAGTGCAACTAAAAAGGGAATTCTAGATCTTTCGTCCAAAACCAAAACTGCAGAAGGGTTGGGCTTGGTGCATATACTCGGTACCTCGCGCTGAAGTGCTGTGGGCGTTCTCCTGACATTGGCGAAATGATGTATAGACTTAAGGTCCTTGGATACAAAGGGCCGAACATGACCCAATCCAGTAAAGAAGCCAAGTCCTTGTCATATTTCCTTCGTTCAGAACAACACCGCCTTTCGTGATGAAACACAATCCCGTGGACAGACTTAATGACCTGATGGCCATGTCCACACATCCACCACTGCCCATTCAGGGACCTCAATATCACCTTCACCACCGTTATGCTGATAATACATTTTCCTCCTTCCATTTCTCCCAAGATGTGTTTGTTTTACCCTCTCAGTATTGTGCTTCTTCCGCGCCCTCTCTGCCCATCTTTTCAATCTGTCGGGGTAGCATATACACCAGAGCGCAACCTCTCGCGCCGCCATAGCCTCTTCCAATGCATCGTGAGCATTGGGACCTTTTCGGATACACAGCTTCAATAAATCTGCACAGAGGGATTGAAGACTCCATCGACGACCAAAATCAGCATCTGGTCCAAACACAGCCTCTGCTGTGACAATAGCAGTATCGAAAATTTTCGCATGTGAAACCCGTAGACCTTTTAAATCTTTCTGAAGAGACTGCCCAACTATTACTGTTTCTGTGTTGATATGTTTGAACAGCTGTTGTCGTATGGCTTCCCAACCATAAAGAACTCGTCCTTGAGACGCAGCTGTTGAGAGGGTTGCTGGACATATGCCATGAACATTTGTGCGCCACTGAATGATAGGCTCCATAGGCTTCACAAGGGTATTTACCAAAACTTCGCCAGTGGAGAAGTCGATAATGCGGATGGATATTATCTCGCTGTCACCGCTTCGGACCCCTACCATTTCGCAATTTAGAGCGGCGGCTTTTCTTTTGGGCCACAGCGGGTCTGGATAGGGAGGCATCCTCGTTTCGTTCGTGATGGCGGCTAGTCCTCCATTACTGCAACCGTCCCGACCCAATATGTAGCCCTCCTTCTTCAGTCGCTCAGGAGAATGGCATTGGAGAATGAGACGATTGTGAATAGTAGCCAGGTCGAGTAGCGGCGATCTTTTGTAGCTCAAGTCTCTGAAATGATATTCCAGTGAAGGCAAAGGGGCTGGGAGCTTTATCTCTTGTTGTTGAACTGGGACTACCTCTGGTAGTCTTGCATGCTTTGCCTTATTATGCTGGGCCAAAGCCTTTATGCTGCAGAACCATCTGATACAGTGCTCGCAACATTGGTTGCCCTGATGATCTGCATCCAAACAATGTTCCGCGAACTGCGAATCAGTCTTGAAAGAAACGGAGCATATTTTACACCGCCTCTTACTATCTTGGTCGGCTTTCGCCATTATGAAACCATTCGCAAGGAAGAGGTGAGTGAAGTGAAAGAAGAGTAGTTGGAGATAGCATACGCAGGTTGGCTGTTTACCCCACTTGGTAGGCCTCCCGCATCATGTGTTGGCAGAGCGCATGCACGATGGCGACGGGGCATGGAGAGCCTTTGTTAGCAGCTTGGACAGCAAGAAAAGACCCGACATCATGCTATTTATCATATTCTTGTGGTATTTACATATTAAGTGGTACTCCCAGCATTATCTTCCCATATCACCACCTGGAGTTTGTAAATGTCTGGCAACGCTCCGGCGAATAGTAAAATCTAACAATTCTCTTGGAGTAACACCAACTACCGAAAACACATGAGAAATGCGTCCCGTTATTTTCTACGTTCACCAGCGAACACGGGGTCATGTTGAGACAACTTAGCAGCTTGTCGACGAATTCCCGCTTTCAAGGTGTTACCATGCCTTCGCAAATAGAGACATCCACCACTAACTCCTTATTGACCTCGTTAGTCACAGCTCAAGAATCGCCACCGTCAGCGGACGGGTATGACTGAAGGCCCAGTAACTTCGCGGCAGAGTCCTTCCACTTAAAATCAAGATGGTCATCCTCGCCTTTCCGATAGCTGCAGAACTTCTCCATCCCCCACCACGCCGGTCTCGGTTGATCTCTGGCTTTGAGCAAGAGCCCAAGGCACATGATGTCGGGACGAACTACTTGCGCTTTACCATGGTTATGTTGTTCCACCTTCGCATCTTTCATATTGTTAAGAGAGATTATCATCGAAAGGTAGCTCGACTCGTAATGTGCTCGGAGCTCTTCATCGGTTGCACCGTGGCTTTTGAGATCCTCGTTTACCTGTATGCTTTGATGCTCACACCCTGCGTGCAGCCAGGATGCCACGGCTGTCGACGAGGCATCCATCAGAATCAGTGACAGCTCCATTGCCACGTTGACAAATGATGTTCCCAGGGTGCCATATATATCTTCCAGTAACTTCTGATAGTAGCTTCGAAGCGTTTTGGAGGGTCGAGGATACCACGCCGAATCATTTTCCAGCTGCGTGGATAACTCCCTGTTCATGTTGAACACTAGGTTTCCTGGTTTGAGTCCCTTGTTTCGGCCAAGTATCCCCATAGCAAGACACAGACCCTCCCCAGCAAACCCGTCGGTTGTGAAGGACGTTGACAGTAGCAAGTTGACTGGCACACTGGCGATAGAACGCGAAACCCTTGGTAAAAAGCTACAATGCATCCCCCAGTATAGGGAGACGTTACGGTGGTTAGGGTACCCATCGTGATAAATATACCGAGTGCTCTCTGTCCTAGGGGCTTTCTGAGGACTGATGACGCCGGAATTGAGGATATTGGTATATTATATTTAAAATTATTATATATTAAATCTTATAAACTTAATTAGCTTTATATTTTTTAAGCTATTAAAGCTTCTAGTTACAGATATAACTTACTTTAGTAAAAGTATTAATACTTTAACTTTTCTAGCTTAAGTAACTTAATTTATAAAACCTTTAATAGTTTAACTTTTTACTATA